GCTGGCTGGGGAATTCTGGAAGTTGAAGTCCACACATCTTAAAGTTGCCAAGTTTGAGAAATACTGCATTAGGAGAAACAAGAATCTGGAGAACAGATGTCTGACAGAGGTGGAAGGGATGGGGTGAAAGGGATGGGGGCATGAAAGCAAGCCTTGTTAGTCATAGTTCCCTTGTTATGAAATTTCCCCCCTTTCTTCAGCATTTGAGGCCCCTGAGCAGGCCCAGGTCTTATGGGCTGGCTTTGGAATATCCTTCCCCACATTATAAACTTTTTTCTCCTCTAAAATACTTTACGTTCTTCTGCAAAGTTAAGAGGTCCTCAGGTCTGTACACATGCTTCTATTTTGCTTCCCTATGGCACTAGAAGCACATGAGTTCACTGTTAGGGTATATGCATTTGAGTACCCTTACATGGATCCGTACTAACAAATACAACTTGTGGGTTCCCATGATTCTCTTGCCCACCTTTCAGGAAAAACGTCCTGATGGTAAGACCTGTACAACAGTGGAACAATCTAACTATGGATAGACTGTGGGTCCTCCATCCGTGGAGGGTTTAAGAAGAGGCAGGACAGCCACTTTTTGAGAATGGTTTAATTGATTTTCCTGTACAGAGTTGGCCTAAATGATCTTTATGGTCCCTTCCAAAACTTCCCTGTTCTGTGATTCCATAATTCTGTGCAAGAACCTTTCAATTTTTTTTCAAGCCCTCCTGAGCTTTTCAGCACTCAGAAATCGGGGTCTGTCAAATCGTCTAAATTTTCACCTGTCCCTCAACAAGGAATGAAGCTGCTTATTAAGTTCTTACTCACCGCGGTCATCTGACTTAGCAAGAAAGGGATAACAGAAGGACAATTGTTCCATTACAACAAGGCCTGTATTAGGGTAGCTTTCAGGCCCCTCGGGGGGAAAACCCTGACTGAATATTGCCTTAAGCATATAAATGATCTATAATGTTCACCCTTACTGCTGCAGGAATTGTGACCTGCTGAAATTTTAATGAAAGGGACGATTGAGAAAGGTTGAGTTTGGGTTGATGAAGAAAGTGGTCACATGGTCAAGGGGGAGGCATAGCCAAAGAGGTATAAATCACAAAATTCTAACCTTCTTAAGGCCAAGTTCTTCCTGCTTATCTTCTTTTGAGAAATATCCTTCAAGGTAAGCAATGTTTGCCATGCTTCAGGGTGGAAGGGCTTCTTAATTGACAGTGAGTGAATTACTAACCAGTTATCTGATCTTAAACCTGTGAACCTGGCGGTAAATTTCAGGAGAAATGGTAGTGCTAGAAAATAGCCACCAGCGTACTGTCCAGGGCTACCAAAGCTGTGCTGGAAAGATCTCCATGACCACTGGATGGTGGCAAAGAGTTAGACTGTCTTCATCTCTTTGTTGCCACCTTGTGGTTGTCTGGACTTTTGCAGATCAGTTCTGGTGTTAGCATTGTATCATACCAGAATAAGTCCAGTTGTTCAAAGAGGTCTTTTCCCAGATAAGCACATGTTGGGTATCTGTTTGCAAACCCAGAGTTGAGCTAGGATTCTAAGCATCCACCTGGCACCACCTCCTGCTGGAAGCAAGCTAATGTCCTGTGGGTACTTACAGCTGGGTCAGAAGTTCATCTTACACAGTGGATGACAGGGTAAAGATGCAGTGATTGGATCAGTGCAGTGTGAACAAAATCCAGGTACTGCACTATGACTAAAAAAGTAGCCTGACATTTTTGTAGAATGCTACCAGTGTATCTATTTAAATATTGGGTTATAACTCACCCAGGAAAGGGTACAGGGCCTTCCTTGGTGTCAATGGAGTAGACTTCTAAGAGTGGTGATGGGATCAGGGTTGTAGAGAAGATAGGTTGAGTTTTGGTGCAGTATGGTGGCTTAGAGACCTATTTAGGAAGCAGGGGTCTTTTCTGAGTTTTAGTCAGTCATGGGCAAAGCATGTCCATGTAATCTCAGATCTGTCTTGCAACCGAGCAACCTTGCAGAGCCATTGCACATCTTGGTTAGAGGGATGCAAAATCTGTCGAGTATCCAAAATTTATAGAAATGCTAATGATACCTGTACAATGATAGCTATACAAAAACTTTATGTGGCATGAGTTTATGCCATTTGATCATGGGAAAAAATAGCCACCATTTGGGGGGGGGGGGGGTAATTTTTTTATGCTGCAGACAGAATGCTGCAATTTGAAATGTGTGTTGCCCAAATGTCCTGCCTTAAGTGTTGAATTCCGTGCAACCCTTTTTGCAATTCTACGATGCAACCCTACTTTTGCAACCACCTGAAAATGTGAGGTCTCATCTGAAGTCAGCTAAGCAATTTTCCTTTCCCTTCCCTTCCCTTCCCCTCCCCTCCTTTCCCTTCCCTTCCCTTCCCTTCCCTTCCCTTCC